ATAAATAACTATTTTTCAGGTAAGAATGTGTTTTTTAATTGCCACGTCTGATTTCTAGATTATCTGTCTAATGCTTCATCAGTAGCAATCACAGATGGAGATAACCTGAGAGGATGGCTGGCATTCAATAACACAGCCAGGCACTGAACAACCACAATCCCTAGTCTATTAATGAGCTGTTCTGATGCTTGCTTGCAGCCACTCACTTCTCTCCCTCTATGGTGGTCTGAAAGAAAATGGCCACCAAAGTGAGTGGCACTATTAGGAAGTGTGGTCTTGTTGGAGTAGGTGTGGTCTTGGAGAAAGTGTATCACTGTAGAGGTAGGCTTTGAGATATCATATGCTCAAGCCACACTCAGTAACTCAGACCACTTCCTGTTGCCTGGAAGTCAAGATGTAGGACACTTGGCCACTTCTACATCACTACGTTGGCCTGTACACCACCATGTCACACCATGATGACAATGGACTAAACCTTTAAAAATGTAAGCCATCCCAATTAAATGTTTTTCCTTGATAAGAGTTGCCATGGTAGCTGGGCGGTGGTGGCTCATGCCTTTAATCTCAGCACTCGGGAGGCAGAAGCAGGCAAATCTCTGTGAGTTCGAGACCAGCCTGGTCTACAAGAGCTAGTTCCAGGACAGCCTCCAAAGCCACAGAGAAACCCTCTCTCAATCTCCCCCTCAAAAAAAAAAAAAAAAAAAAAAAAAAGAGTTGCCGGTCATGGTGTATCTTCACAGCAATAAAAGCCCTAAGACAGAAGTTGGTACCAGGGACTTGAGTATTTCTGTGAGAGGCCTGATCATGCTTTTGTTTGGAGGAATTTGGACTTTGGTACTTTGGGTTAGGAAAGCAGTGTAATGCTTTAAGTGCTGCTTAAAGTAGGAGCATGGAAGACAGTGGTGCTGAGTGTGATTTGAACTGTGAGGGTGCTGGCTCCAGAGATTTCAGAGGAGAATAGTTTTTCCTAGACATTGTTCTTGTGATATTTTGGTGAAGAATGTGGCTGCTTTTTGCTCTTGTCCAAAAAGTTTGCCTGAGGCTAAAGTGAAGAGTTCTGGATTAATTCCCTTGGCAGAAGAAATCTCAAAACAGCCTAGTATAGACTGTTGTGTGGTTATAAGTGTTAACTCTGTTGAACATTTATAATGAAAAGGATAATGTACCAGGCTTTCTTTTAGGCTACCAATCAGCTCCCAAATCATGACACTGAGACTTATTTTTAATTTTGAATGCTTGGCCTTATCTTAGCTCTTATTTCAATTTGTTTCTCTTTATGTGTGTTTTGCCTCTGGGCTTTTTTACCTTTCTTTCCTTCTGTATATCTTACTTTCACTGCTTCTAGTGTCTGTCTGGCAGCTGCCTGGCTTCTGGCTCTGGGTGTGTCCCTCTCTGTCTCCCTCATTCACTTCTTTTTCTTCTCTCTTGAGCCTAGATTTCTCCTCCTACTTATTCTCTCTGCCTGCCAGTCCCGCCTGTCCCATTCCTGCATAGCTGTTGACCACTTGAATTTTTATTAGACCAATCAGGTGCCTTAGGCAGGGGAGGTGAAACAAGCCCATCCCATCTTTACAGAATTAAACAAAAGTAACACATCTTTACACAGTTAAAGCAATACTCCACAGCATAAACAAAAGTAATACATCTCTACCTAGTTAAAGGAATTTCTACAACAGGAGAGAGCTGAGGAGGGAAAAAAATATTTGAGGAGAAAAGGAACATCAGAAAGTGGGATGGATCTAAGTCCTTCATTCAAGGACATGAACAGATTAAAAAATGGAATAAAGGGAGTGGTACTAATAGGAGGTGTGGCTTTGATGGAGAGGTTTTGCCCTTGTTGGAGGAAGTGTGTCACCGTGGAGGTGGGCTTTGAAATCTCAAGATAACCTCCCAGTGTCTCAGACCACTTCATGTTGCCCTTGAGTCGAACTCTCGGCTCCTTCTCCAGCACCATGTCTGCCTGAATGCTGCTTTGCTTCCTTTCATGAAGACAGTGGACTAAATAAAACCTCTGAAATGTAAGTGAGCCACCACAATTAAATATTTTCCAGTATAAGAGTTGTGTGGTCATGGTATCTCTCCACAGCGATAGGAAATCTAACTAAGACACTCTCCCACACTCTTCTGAGTTCCTCAGTGGCTTGGCCACCAGAATTTCCAGGAGTGGTTTTGATTTCCCCCATGCTGAGCCATGGTGGTTTCAAGAGTACAAAATGTGGCAGTGTTGTATGCACCTGGTGATTTCTTCTCTTGCCTGTCCAAAGTAGATCCAGTTTTAGCCTGGGCCGAGGCAAAGTGAATTGAAGATGGGTCACTTCATCAAACAAGCTGCTAGATCTGGAGGGTCTAGGAGAAGAATGTGTGATTCATTGTGGACACTGCCCTGAGTACCTACTCTCAGCAAATACAGGTTCATTTGGCAATGCCTCGGGTGGGGATCAGAGTAGTGAGAATGCTGACTGTGGCCATGCTTTCAGGGCACACTTCTGTTTTCCTGGTGTGTTAAGAACAAGAAGGACCAATCCTAACATCAGTTACCTTATGCACATCCTGGTATGGCTGTGTCATTTGGTGACAGGGGACAAAAGAGGATGATTTCCAATGTCTCCCCTATGGTGTCTGGAATGAGAGTGTTTTGGGGGGGGGCGTGGGGGCAGCAGAAAACTTCCTGTTCCAAGTGATTTAAACTCTAGTCCTCAGCTGTCACATACAGGCTAGGAGACTTTGGAGGAGTCATTTCTAAGTTTTTGGTTGATCAGTCATTTTAAATAAAGGGTTTGATTGATTGTGACCTAACAAAGTAGTCTCATCTGTGGGGTTCATTCCAAGACACTCCCCAAAAGAAACTGTAAACTCTGTAATACCAACCCCTATATATATTATTTTGTATATATACACCTGTGATTAAGTTATATTTGTAAATTTGGCACAGTTACAGATTAACAATAATAATAAAAATGACCTATTATAATAATATGTTTTAATAACTTGACTTAACACTTAAGACATTTTTATTTTTAGAATTTTCCACACCAAAATTGTGGAAGGTGAAATCACAGATCCTGGGATACTCCTGAAGGATTAGCATTAGGGTTTGGTATTTCTGACAAGGTCATGTCTATCATTCTTACAGAATATATTTGAGCCTGTATGAATCATGCAATAAGCAATGGGGAAAATAAAGATCCCTATTGTCCTGATTTGTTCTGTTTCTGTTACAAAACACTAACCAAGTTGAGGGAGAAACTTGTAGGTTACAGTCCATCATTGAGTGAAGCCAAAGCAGGAACTCGAGGCAAGACCTTGAAGCAGAAACTATGAAGGAATGCTGCTCACTGGCTTAGTTCTAAGCTCATATTCTGCTATTTTTATAAGACAGCTCCTTCTAGGAATGGTACCACCCACAGTGATACCCTCCTACATAAATTAGCAATCAAGACAATGCTCCACAGACATGCCCACAGGCCAATCTGATAGATGTAATTCTTCAGTTGAGGCTCTCTCTTGCTAGGTGTGTCAACAACTAAGATAATCACCACACTACTGCAGACCCTGCAAGATAAATGTATGTGCAGGGGGTGGTGTGGCTGGGATGGTGCATGCCTCTAAGCCCAGAGTTCAGGAGGCAGAGGCAGGATGATTTCTGGGAATTTCAGACCAGTCCAGCCTACATAGTTCTAGGACAGCCAAGGATACAACACAGTGAGGCACTGTCTTCAAAAACACAAAAACAAACTTACATAAGGCATCATATTACTTATTTGGATAACCACCCCCAAAATTGCCTCCTGAAGTTGAGATATTGGTTTGAATGCTTTGCATATTAAAACAAATGAACTGTATGGAGCCAAGTATGGTGGCACATGCCTCCAACGACTTTCTGAAGAGAGAGGCAGGTGTATCTCTGAGTAGGAGGCAACCTGTTCTACATAATGAGTTCCAGGATTGCCACTGCTACACTGTGAGACACTATCTTTAAAAAAAAAATTGTGGCCAGGCCTTGGTGGCGCACGCCTTTAATCCCAGCACTCGGGAGGCAGAGGCAGGAGGATCTCTGTGAGTTCGAGGCCAGCCTGGTCTACAAGAGCTAGTTCCAGGATAGTCTCCAAAGCCACGGAGAAACCCTGCCTCGAAAAACCAAAAATAAAAATTAAAAAATTAAAAAATTGTGTGGGGCTGGAGAGATGGCTCAGAGGTTAAGAGCATTGACTGGTGCAGATATACATGGAAGCAGAATGTTTGTATACATAATAAATAAATAAAATTAAAAAAATTGTGTGTGTGTTATATGCATGTACACATGTTCCTGTGTGTGTGTGTGTGTGTGTGTGTGCAAAAACATTTAGTCTGTGTATGGGGGTGATGGCACATATGTGGAGATCAGAGGACAATTTTCAGGATGTTTTTTTTTTCTACTGTGTGGGCCCTGGGGGTCAAACTTGTGTCATCAGTCTTGACCCACTGACCCATCTCACTAGCACTCCCTTCATATTTTGAGGCCAGTAAAAATTTCTCTCCAGCGTGTGAACACTTCTGAGACTCTGTAAGGCCAGCGTTGCTCTCAGTTCCAAACCGCTTCCCTCCTGGAGCCCTGAAACCTCAGCAGCATCCTGACTGCTTCCTCCGCCAAAGAGCCCCAGCCGTAACCAATCCAGAGATGATGTCTGATGGCCAGCTTTGATAAAGGGTCCAGGTAGGAACCCGAGCCACCTTGGGGACAGACTGCGCATCTCTAAGCAGATACACATTCTCCATTAGAGGCCCCGGAGGAGGCCGACTTCAGCAGCAGCATTCAAAGCTGATGATTCTGCAGTCTTCAGTCTGCTGTGCTGTGCTGGTGGGGGAAGCAGGCTAGCGTAGCTCTCCTCTGACACTGAACGAAGCAGTGAGTGTAGAAGGACAGTAAGACAACCCCAAGCTTACCCTTGAACCGACCATGAAATTCAGCATCCAAGACTTTCCAGAGACAGGAAGAAAGAGTTCCAGTGACCACTGCACTTTCTCAAGGTCACCAAGCTGGAAAGGGGACAAGGGCTTTTCAGACTAAATTAGAGTACAGAGGCCAGAAGCTGAGCATTAGACTCCTCCCCAGAAAATTTAGCCAATCTCTCTCTCTCTCTCTCTCTCTCTCTCTCTCTCTCTCTCTCTCTCTCTCTGTGTGTGTGTGTGTGGTGTAGTTGTTCATGTATATGTACCTCTCTGTCTGTGTGTGCACACCTATGTACTTGTTCGTGTGTATGTAAGTGGGTAGGTGCATGTATGTGTGTGAGTCTGTAGCTGTTCATTTTTATGGAAGTGTGTGTGTGTGTGTGTGTGTGTGTGTGTGTGTGTGTGTAGGCCAGAAATCCAAGGCATGTATCTTCCTCTCTCTCTGCCTTAATTTTTAACTCTTATTATTTTCATATTCATGGATATATCAACCACATGTATACATGTGTACCACATATGTGCCCGGTACCCAAAGAAGCCAGAAGAAGGTATCCTATTCCTTTGAATTAGAATTAGAGACAGTTGTGAGCTGCCATGTTAGTGCTCAAAATTGAATCCAGGTCCTCTGGCAGGACAGCCAGTGCTCTTAAGTGCTGAGCCGTCTCTCTAGTCCCTCCACCTTATTTTTGGAGACAGGGTCTCTGAGTGAACTTGAAGCTCATCAATTTGGCCAGACTGCCTTATCAGGGAACTCCATCTCAACTTCTCCAGTGTTCATATTACAGCTGCCCAGTGCCATGTCCTGCTAGGGTGCTCTGGATCTGAACTGGAGTCCTTATGCTGTATCAAGATTTTACCAACTAAGCCTCCTCTCCAGCCCTTGGGTTTGAGAGTCTTAACACATGGGACCATCACTGTGTGTCCAGGCATCTTCCTTTGTCTAGCCTGAAGTGGGCTGGGGTTGAACATGCCCTGTAAGGGGGTCCCAGCTGCCCTAGGGAGAAATGTAGGACATAGAATTGCACAGGGGTCTAGATACACATACAATAAAAGAACCAGAAGGGAAGACTAACAGCAGTTTGAGGCCTGAATTAGGGGCTGAGCAGGAGCCCCCAACTACAGTTGCCTTTAGCATTCCCTGACCACCAGCTACCCAGATGTAAACTGGATTTCATTTGGAAGAGCAAACAGTGTTTTAAAATTTGAATAATGTTAGCTGGCATGATATTCTATAATTACATATTATATATAAAATACTATATAGTTATATAATAATGTGGTGATGCATACCTTTAATCCAATCCCAGCACTCAGGAGGCAGAAGCAGGCAGATCTCTGAGCCCAAGGTCAGCCTGATAAACAGAGCTAGTTGCAAGACAGCCAGGGCTACTCAGAGAAACACTGTTTTGAAAAAAACAAACAAACAAAAATTCTGAATAATGTTTGCCTTCAAAATATTTTCATATGAAAATGTTTAAATTTAATTTAAAATTTTTACGTATGAGGATGTTTTAACTTCATGGATGTCTGTGTGCCATGTGTGTGCCTGGTGCCTGCTGCAGGCTGGAAGAGGGCATTGGGTGCTGGGGGCTTACTGTGAGACCCCTGGAAGAAGAGCAGAAAGTTCTCTTGCCCACTGAGCTACCTTTCAGCCCTTCACATTTACTTTTCAGTTGACATATGATCATTATACATACCGGAGAGATAGTTTAACACAGAGGGCTTGCCTAATATGTACAAAGTATCACAAAATAGTGAGAAGAAAATTGTACCACTTACGTGGCTTCTCTGGGATAACTTGATAGCTATATACAATAGTTAATGATCAAATAATCTCTATGCCTTGAGACATTCATCAGTTCCTTGTATTGAGAGGCTCGGAATTCTTCTTAACTTGACATTCAGGATAGCATTTCAATTTTATCATTGCTGGTTTTTTTTTTTTTTTTTTTTTTTTTTTTTTTTAAAAAGCTCCCCCCCACCATGAAACTCTGACTATCCCAGAACTCAATACGTTGTAGACCAGGCTGACCTGGAAGTCACAAAGATCTGGCTTCCTTGGTCTCCTGAGTGCTGGGTGTATATGTGTTTGTCACCATACCTGGCCTGGGTAACTAAATGAAGTTACTAAATGAAGGGTTAACACCAATAGTGTCAAAACATGCATCCCCCCACCCCCACCCCACACATACACAGTGGTAGAGTTCACACTCAAGGGGTTTGGTTTGTTGAGCTACTTTTTTTCTGTGTATTTCTCCAATCCACCAGCTTTGGGAGGAGGGGGGCTGCTGTGGGCAGTTTCACATCTCAAAAACTTCTTGCTGTTATTAAACAGAAGAAACGTGTGTGCCCAGAAAGGACTCTTCTGGCCATGGGAGGAGACAGCCACATAACAGGCTTGTTTCCTTCGTTCCTCTCCAGGTCCTGGAAGGTGAACCTTTGCTGCTGGTGACAGCAGCAGGAGCAAGCCCCAAGCCGTGTGTCCCACAACAGCTTCCCTTTTATACAGCGAAAGAAACCCCTCAGGCAACAGGTCTCAGTTCCTCTCTGTCACCACAGACCTGCTGAGTGACTTTGGCAAGCCAGTAGCTCACGCTACTGTGCGCTCTGTGAATGATGGAAGGAGAGCTGAGGAAATCCCATCTTGAATGTCCAGCATCGAGTGGGAGAACAGGCCTGGTGGGTGAGGCTCCCTTGAGTGGGAAGTAAACTCCTGCCAGGAAAGCCCCCAGATGGGAAACACCCCATGTTTCCAACCTTCTGTGACATCTGAATGCCCTTTCCTCTCTCCTACTTCTATAAGAAATTGAGAGAACCGAGGCCAGAGTAGGGAAGTAAGGTCATCACCCCCTACAGGAACTGGGGCCCAGGGCTCCTTAGTTCCCACACAAAATTCTCCTAATTTTTATGTCCTTTGTCCCTTGAATGATTGTGCACTTGAGCTAACAGAAGAAACTTCTGGCACGGAAGCAAACACTGTTGCTGGGCCAGAGACGGAAGCTCCGGTGTTTTCATATGGCATCCAGTGGGAGAAGCAACAGGCCCAGGATGCTGGGGACATGCTGGTTCTGTCGATGATTCTTTTTTTTTTTTTCAAGTCAGGGTTTCTCTGTGCAGATTTGAAGCCTGTCCTGGAACTCGTTCTGAAGACCAGGCTGGCCTCAAACTCACAGAGATCCGCCTGCCTCTGCCTCCCGAGTGCTGGGATTAAAGGCGTGCTCCACCACTGCCCCGACTGACGATGATTCTTGATGAAACACCTGGAATGGCAGCCACTGAACTGTAACGGGAACACTGGCCTGGCCTGTCTCCGGGGCCTGTGTGGGTGTGCAGCCTATGGCACAGTTATAGGACCTTGGGGGAGGCAATTCGTTTGTTGCCAAGTAGGACCTTGGCAGGGTTAGGGAAGGTAAAGGGTTGGAGAGAAACATGCATTTAGCTCTGAGAAGCAGCCGTGTGAAGGTGCTGAAGCAGGGGCCTAGGAAGGTGTGTGCAAAGCTTTGCCTCCCAGTTGATTTGAACACAGAACATGGGTCCCAGAAAGTTGGAGGGGTGGGCAGAGCAGGGCAAGGTCTAAACTTATTGCCATGCAGGCTGAGAGATTCAGGCTCTGCCATCCAGGTAGGAGGCTCAAGTAAAGACACGAGGAGGGTCTTGAGCCACACTGGCAGTGATGATAGAGGAGAAGGTTGGGATACTAAGTAGGGGACAGTGGCTGGAAGGATGGTAGAGTGGTTTAAAGCGTGTATTACTCATGCAGAGGACCCGAGTTCTGTTCCCAGCACCCACACACCTGCCTGCACTCCAGCTCCAGGGGACTTCAGAGGCACCCCCACTTACACATACCCAGTCCCCCCATATGCACATAATTAAAAATAAAATAAATCAGCCAGGTGGTGGTGGCATAAGCCTGCAACCCCAGCACTCCAGAGGCAGAGGCAGAGGCAGAGGCAGAGGCAGAGGCAGAGGCAGAGGCAGAGGCAGAGGCAGGTGGATCTCTGTGAGTTCAAGGCCAGCCTGCTCTACAGAATGAGTTCCAGGACAGTCAGGGCTACATAGAGAAACCCCACCATATTTGCATATTAGAGCTTTGTCCCTTTGGGTATTCAAATCTCTTGATCTGCAGTTTTGAGATGTCTGTGTTTTCAGCATAAATCCTTTCTCCAACTCTGCTCCAAGCTATCGGGTTCTCCCAGCCTCATCCTTGACAATCAGATAAGCTCTAATAGCTGTCTTGGTGCCTCAGGCTTCCTATTACACGCTGGATCTAGAGCTTTCTAGGTCTCTTGTCTGGCTGTGTGCCGAAAGTTGCCTGAACCTTTGTTGTGGGGCTCCCTTTAACTCACTCCTGAGGTGACTCCCCATCTTTCTGGCTCCTGTTTCCTTCCTATTTTCTTGATTTTCTCATTTTGTTTATCTTACTATTTTTTTTCCCTTTTCATGTTGTTGGTGGAATCTTGCTGTATTGCTCCTGCTGGCCTTCAACTTCTGCCTTCTAAGTAGATCCCAATTTTCAATATTTCCTGAGAAAGTATGTTTGGCATGTTTATTCTTTCTCATTTTTGGATAACAGATTGGGTAGTGCTGTGGCTTGAAGGTACAATGTCCGCATAGCCTCATGTGTTTGAACACTAGGTGATGGACAGGGTCAGGCCTTGAGGTAATGTATACATGGAGGAAACAGGTCACTGGGGGCAGGCCTTGAAGTTTCATAGCCCAACCCATTTCTATCTTCTCTCTGCTTAGCTATAGATACAATATGGCCAGCTGCCTCATTCTCTTGTCTGTCCTCCATGATTGGTTTGTTATAGCCCCTCAAACTATAAACAAAAATAAGTCGTCCCTCCATTAGGCTGCTTCATGTACTTGGGCATTTAACAATCAGAAAAATAATACAGAAATTGGTTCTGGGATTGGGGTGGTTTTGGTTTTTGTTTTTGGATTTTCGAGGCAGGGTTTCTCTGTGCCTTTGGAGGCTGTCCTGGAACTTCTCTTTAGATCAGGCTGGTCTCAAATTCACAGAAATCCACTTGCCTCTGCCTCCCGAGTGCTGGGATTAAAAGCATGTGCCACCACTGCCCGGCTTGGGGTGATTTTTGTGATAAACTTGACCATGTGGTTTTTAGACCTTTGGAACTGGTTTGCAGAAAGGATATGGAAGAATTTGGAGATGTGCACTAGAGCTTTGGTATGCTATAAGCAGGATGGTTATGGTAGGAAGAATGTGACAATGGAGGCCTGGGTTTCAGACAGGGAAACATAGACTCTAGTGGAAAGAATATAAGATCTGGGAGATAAGAAGGGATGTCCTTAGGGCATGATATGACAATTGCAATGTGAGTTCACAGGGGTCTGTTCTGCACCTACTTTAGACAGCCCAGTTATAGATCGTGGAGGGACTCACGGAGCACTAACCTCATGGTGATGAACTATTGGCAACTGATGGATTCTAGGGTTGGGACAATCATTGTATTCCATTGTGTACCCAATGGTGACTCCACCAGGCATATATGTATATATATATATATATATATATATATATATATATATAT